GCCCCCTTGACCCAATGACCACGACACGCCGACCACGCCATGGCACGCCTCGCCATGCGTGTGGCGTGGGAACGACGGGTGTTAATAGCCCCTGGACCACTTATAAGCTCTGTAACCGCATAATTTTAACTTCTATGTAACCGTTTTGGCCTGATGAAGAGTTACCGAAAACACTTGTTTGCCAAATTGAGTTTTCAATTGTAACATGGGAATATTCGCTGAACTTAAAATAATATTGCCGACAGATGAACTTCCTTTCAATCGTCGCCTATAAAAACCACGATCGGAAAAAATAACCACTTGAGTAGTATGCACTTTTCAGCTGATCTCCGATGCCCTTACAAACTGAAGTATGTTTACAGATTTCTTGTAGTCATTTGGTTGCAAGCCATGTCTTCATCAAATTTTATGCCTAAAGGGTATATTTCGGTCTTAAAGTTCTGCAACTCCTGAGTAATTTTGAACCAGGCGTTTCATTTAACGCGCGTTCAGGGTTTTGAATTACAAACTGTAGACTTTTCATTCAAAGAGAATCATGCATTCCTTGATGTCATCAAGAATTTACCATATAGGGATCACGAAATTTTGTAACGGATGTAAACTATGTCGTATGCTTCATAAGAAACAATAATAAATGGACAGATACGATGATACTTGAATGGGCATTTCAGTCATAAAAGCCTCATAATTACAAACGTCTTTAGGGCCGAAAAAACTTTCCTCGAGTATAAACTTTAGAGACATGATTTCCTACCAAATAAATACAAGAAAGGATATTTTTGACTATGTTTTCTTTTTTATTGAGTATAGTTTTTGCAGGCGGCCGCAAGAAATTGCATTCAAATGCCGTGACGCAGCAGAAATATTTTGGCACTGTGCCGCATGATAGTCAATACTACAACCTCATTTAAATGATCCTTCCCACTCGAAAAGGCATTTCAGAATCTCAGCTAACAGTTCATGAAACTGGTCACTGGCTGTATTTTACAGTCCAATAACCGGCATAACTTACTGTTGTTGATGAGCTTTCGATCGGAAAAGTAGGACAACACCACTTTTTTCCAAATCGTAAGTGGGAATAGAATGATCGGAGACGATAAGTCTGAGCGGGATATGTGTCATGATGGTCGAATCAAGGAGTGGTCACCTCAGTCTGACTATCGTTATGAAGAGGAAGCGAATTACCTGTCAACTGGCAGCCACACTTGTCAGGCCACACTTGACGAATCGCCATGGCTTCAGGCCTTTTTGATTTATTATGGTGAGGGATGCGCAGGATTTTCACGAGTAAGGACGCCTCCGTATCGGCCGCATTCTAATTCCTTATTCACAGGAGCGTACTTGCAAACAGCATTCAGACACTTATTTTGAATACGCCTGAGACGAAGAACAGTTATTGCCTTAGCAGAAAGGTCAAACAATGAAACAACACTACGTACAGATCAAGAAGAAGTGAAAATGCCGCCGTATGCCTGCTGTCTTCGTCAACCAGCAAAACCGGTTGTAGCCCGTCCTGGTCGTGTGAGCTCATTGT